TCCTTTTTCTTCTTCTTTTCTTTTCTTTTCTTTTCTTTCTGCTGGAAACCACGGTTGGCAACAGTGAAAACAGGGATGTGTCGCCATAGTCTCATGTTTGAAGCACTGTAAAAAGGACGATGATTTTGTGTATATATAATTGGTGGTTGTTTTTTTTTAAACGTCTTTCTAATCCTTTACTTTAATCAGCGAAGGTTCAAAGCCCATGCGGAGTGTGAATGTTGGGATCGCATGCGGAGTGTGTATGTTGGGATCACATGCGGAGTGTGTATGTTGTGATCACATGCGGAGTGTGTATGTTGTGATCACATGCGGAGTGTGTATGTTGTGATCACATGCGGAGTGTGTATGTTGGGATCGCATGCGGAGTGTGTATGTTAGGATCACATGCGGAGTGTGTATGTTGGGATCACATGCGGAGTGTGTATGTTGGGATCACATGCGGAGTGTGTATGTTGGGATCACATGCGGAGTGCGTATGTTGGGATCACATGCGGAGTGCGTATGTTGGGATCACATGCGGAGTGCGTATGTTGGGATAGGCTTCGCAGACCCCGAGCATCTTTTTTTTTCTTTTGGTCAACACTCTAGGTGCTAATCCTAACTGCAGAAACAACACTCTTGGGCATTTGAGACACTATGAAAACGTAGTTAAAGCCCAACAAGGGGTTAAAAGGACATCCAAGTACGGAGCTACAGCTCAACAAGAGATACAAAGAACATCCAAGTACAGTGCTACTTCCTAACAAGGGGTACGAAAGACATCCAAGTACGGTGCCTTAAGTACCCACTAGAGAGCTCCGCTCATCCGATAGTGGCAAAATAGCGATACCGTGTGTTCGCCTTGAGACTTACGGAAAGCGCACTTTTGCATTTGCCGGCCCAACAATTTGGAACGCACTTCCAGTCGCTCTCAGAAACAGCCAGACACTGGAGTCCTTTAAAACCTATTTTAAAAAACATCTATTTCGCAAAAACCTTATGGGGTTATTCTATCTACCATCTTTTTCAGTTAATATATATTGGCTTGTGTTGCTTATGGTTGAAACGGGATGAAAGACTTTGCCTGGGTATGCTCTTATGTAGCTTTATATTGTTGCGTCTGTTTTTAAATGTGGTAAATTTTAGATTGTTTTCATTTCTCTTTTTAATATGGTTGACTTTGTACCGCGCTTCGAGCTTTTGGGGATGAAGCGTGTTTTTCAAATAAACTTTATTATTATTATTATTACTGCCCAAATTATTATTATTATTATTACTGCCCAACAAGGGATACAATAGACATCCAAGTACGGTGCTACTGCCCAACAAATGGTACAAAGAACATCCAAGTACGGTGCTACTGCCCAACAAGTGGTACAATGGACATCCAAGTACGGTGCTACTGCCCAACAAGTGGTACAATGGACATCCAAGTACGGTGCTACTGCCCAACAAGTGGTACAATGGACATCCAAGTACGGTGCTACAGCCCAATAAGGGATACAAAAGACATCCAAGTACGGTGCTACAGCCCAACAAGGGGTACGACAGACATCCAAGTACGGTGCTACAGCCCAACAAGGGGTACAAAAGACATCCAAGTACGGTGCTACAGCCCAACAAGGGGTACAAAAGACATCCAAGTACGGTGCTACAGCCCAACAAGGGGTACGACAGACATCCAAGTACGGTGCTACAGCCCAATAAGGGATACAAAAGACATCCAAGTACGGTGCTACAGCCCAATAAGGGATACAAAAGACATCCAAGTGCGGTGGTACAGCCCAACAAGGGGTACGAAAGACATCCAAGTACGGTGGTACTTGGTTCAAATTCCCAATACAAATGCTAAGGAGATTCCTTTCTAATGACGTGTGTTTTTCATCTCCATTTATAACATGGCAATCATGTTTTTTCTTTTTCTTGTGCGCCTTTTTAAGCACTCATTCCGGCTATCTTAATTACAAGAGCAAGTTGAGTTTAAGCCCTCGCTAACCCCGGGGTTTGTGCACGCATAAGCTCCCGAGACAAAATGAAGAAGTTCGGGCGCCCCGCCGCGGGGGCGTGGGCAGGGGGTGGGTGTTGAAGAACAACACCATCGTGAGCAGCTCACGTCACGTCACACGGAAAGTGAGCAGTCCAAATAGTTCGGACAATAGAAGAAGCTTCCAATATTTGACACGACAACAGTTCTCAAAGCCCAGATATCGATCACACTGTCATCCTCACTGGCTCCATCCCGCTCACAGGGGTCCCCCACGAGTGAAGGATTTTTGCTTCAGGGGGGGAAAGAAAGGGACAACTCCACAAGATGGACTCTGGTGAGACTTTTCCTCGAAGCCATACAACCAGAGGTTACAAGGGTCGAACCCCGGCCCACGAGCGTGGGGCTCGACTAATATTAGGACTGAGTGGTTGGCTCACGTCGGCCCGTGAGACCATGGACGGTTGTTTGAATTAAGAGAAGACTCTAATGAGATGGGCCGCTGAACCCCTCACTGCCGACCGGCCCCAGCATTCAACACTAATTCGATTGGTAATGTAATATCATCAAGTAAAACTGCTACATTTACATTACTTCTGGGTTTTCATCTGATAGCTCTTTTTTTCTGTAGATGGGATAATTTTAATGTAAAGAAAACAGAAAGGTACATGTCCTTAGTTCCAATGAAATATTAAAAAAAACTCGTGTACGTGAAATGTATGCCTATTAAAATTCACCGCCAAAATGAGAGTACGCTTTCTGTGGCAGCGGTTCAAAACTTTTTGACTCACGGAACCCTTTTTGGAATAAATGTCTTTGGAAATGGGGGGGGGGGGCCTTTTGCCTAGGTTATGTCTTTCAAGTTAATAATGTTTAGGAGTTTTGGGGGGGGGGGGGGTGGTGTTGCGATTTTTGAGTTCGGGAAGGGGGTGCGAGGATGCCAAAAGTTTAATCCAAAATGAGTGGGTCTCATTTCATGAAACAAGGTGATTCAATCTCTGGTGTGCAGTAACATAGCTGTCTTCGTCGCGACTTGTGGGTGGCAAAGTGGAGCCGTTTTCCCCTCAGCGCATTCGACTGATATCAGTTGAATGAAATAGAGAGTATATGAGAATGCTCGCTTAATTATATTAATGATTTATAATGGAGAAGTTGACTTGATGTTTAATTAATGTATGCGCACAGTGTGTTTGTTCGTGTGTGTGGGGGGGAGGGGGTTGTGGGGGTTAGGAGGTGGGTTTTCGTTTAAAAAAAAGATGGGAACGTTATTTAAATACAACCAAAAAACAAAACAAAAAAAAAACCCTGGCACATAATGGCGCAATCAGGGTAAACGTTGCGACCAGGAACGGTAGCCATTAAGTGAGGACAAGATCAAGTGAGATATATGTGTCCCAGAGACACGGGGCGCCTGCTGCGTACTGTCTCAAGTGAGCGTTAGCCTTGGAATGATGAGCACACGCTTAACGGCTGGGACAGCCTCTGGCATGGGGCATGACATAATGATACTAGCTTTCTCTGGGACAGCCTCTGGCATGGGGCATGACATAATGATACTAGCTTTCTAATTTGCCGCCCCCCCCCCCCCACCCCCCCCCCCCCACAATCACTGTCTGTGAGAGGACACCGTTAGGATATGATGTGGACTGTTCATCTTCAATGTACGATACATCATAATACGTACAATTGAGGCAACTTTAAAAACTATTTCAAATGATACAATATAATATGTAATACTGCTCAAGTTTATCTAAACAGTTAAAGTATTGATCATTGATAAATGACGGAGTCAGACAGAAGAGACGGAATGAGTTTAGTATTAGGAAATTAAATTAGTAATTCAGATACCAATTTGGTAACACCCTATAATAAAGATATAATGGTACAGTGGAACCCCGCTATAACGCGATGATCGGGGTCCATCAAATCGGATCGCGTTAAAAGCGGGGTTGCCTTAATGCGCGGTTTAGCAATATTTAACTTTTTTTCCAGAGAACATATACGTGTAGTGTATACTATTTATAGTTCTACCGGAAGAAAGCCTCGTTTTCGGCATTAATTTTGATACTAGTTTGAACGTGGTGCGTTTAGGGGCCTTAAAAAATGGCTTTCCAAGCAATGGATACAATTTTCAAAGAACTTAGGCTTAGGCCTGATGGAGTAAATGAATTTCAAATTTCGGGAGCCATGCTACGACCGCATTATATCCGAATTCGCGTTATGGCGGGGCGATTTATAACGGGGTTCCACTGAATATATAACAGATACAGAAACTAGACCCAATAAAATTTGTAGCATATCTGGCCAGATATAATCTTGATTTTAAAAAATGTTGCTATTGCATTACAGGACTAGTGTATACTTTTCTCATTGCATCTTAACCCCATATGCTACCAAATACAAGGTGCTAAAAAAAAATTAATTAATTTATGCTAAATACAACCACGGTAATTGAGCCTAATTGTGTAATAGTGAATACTTACAATTGTGAACAATCAACACAAAAAAAAGTTTTAGTTACTACCAGTATGTAATCCCTGTTATGAGTATGTAATCCCTGTTATGGAACTAAGTAATTTTCTAAAATATGTAAAATGAGATATTCGGTAAGAACATATTAAAAATAAATATGAAAGATAAAGTGGGGAGGTGGGGAGCGACCTGAGAGAAGGCAAAAAGTGTGGAGAGCCAATGAACTGAATGAGTACTCACAGTAAGTATACAATCAGAGCCAATGAACTGAATGAGTACTCACATAAGTATACAATCAGAGCCAATGAACTGAATGAGTACTCACAGTAAGTATACAATCAGAGCCAATGAACTGAATGAGTACTCACAGTAAGTATACAATCAGAGCCAATGAACTGAATGAGTACTCACAGTAAGTATACAATCAGAGCCAATGAACTGAATGAGTACTCACAGTAAGTATACAATCATAGCCAATGAACTGAATAAGTACTCACAGTAAGCAATAAGTACTCACAGTAAGTATACAATAAAGGCTCACAGTAAGTATACAATAAGTACTCACAGTAAGTATACAATCGCCTATCCTCCTGTTTTCCGCCACTTTGGTACTATAGAAACTGGTAATAAACTCCGGCTCCTTATCATTGACATCCCTGACATTGACCTTGACCTGAGCGGCGGCCACTATCGGCGGGTCGCCCCCGTCGGTGGCCACCACGACCAACACTGGATGCTGATTCACCTCGCAGTCGAGCATCGCCTTGGTGTAGATTTTCCCCGTGCTAGAATCCACACTGAACCATCCCATGTCCTGCGAGTTATCCTGCAGGGTGTAGGTAATCCGGGCATTGTATCCACTGTCAGCGTCCGTCGCAGACACTGTCAGCACTTCCATCCCAATCTCAACAGACTCGTCGATGTCAATTTCATATTGAGACTTCTCAAAGACTGGGGCGTTGTCGTTCACATCCCCAATGGTAATCCTAAGCTCTTTAGTAGCTCTAAGCTGTGTGTTTTCGATGCCAGTGACCTGTAGGGACAGCTCATAACTGGCCTGCCTCTCTCTATCCAGAGAACCATTCATGAGCAAAGTCCCATTGCGAACCGTGAAACAGCACTGACCGCCGTACAAAGTGATCACCACTTTGTTGTTGATATTAGTATTCTGGTCCTCCACTTTGACCACAGCGATCTTTGTGCTGGCGAGAGTGCTTTCCAAAATGTATCCATTCTTAAACAGCTCAAGGAACTCTACGGTGATGTTTGCCGCCTGCTCGTTGACGTTCTCGACAATCACATCCAGCCCAGCTGTCCCGACCTGGGGTGGGCTGCCATTGTCTCGAGCCTCCAGCGTCAGCAGGTACCTGTTGTGTTTTTCATAATCTAAAGGTTTATTCACACTGACCCAACCCGTGGCGGGATCGATTGTGAAGTACTCCTCCGGATCAGTTTTGGGGTCAATCGAATATGTTATCCTTCCGTACTCACCAGAGTCCCTGTCAGTTGCAAAAACCTTGATGATTCCGGTTCCAACAGTTGCATTTTCTGTGACCTTGACCGAGTATTTACTTATATTGAAGATGGGCTCATTGTCATTCTGATCCAGTATGTTAATATTGACTGTCATGGTAGAGGAACGCCCTCCTCCATCCGTTGCTTTAATGATAATACGGTAGGATGATATCTCCTCATAGTCCAACTGGTTTGTATTCACTACTAAATCTATTATTTTATCCACACTGCTGCTATTTTTAACCTGGATGGCGAAGTGATTTTTTTCATTACCGGATATGATTTCTACCCGCTGGGTTGAATTATCGCCCAGATCCTCATCCCTGACGCTGCCAAGCGGAATTTTATGATTCAGAGGGGCAGACTCAGAGATATTGATGTTGATTGTTGAACTGGGAAAAGTCGGACTGTTGTCGTTGATGTCCAGGACCTGAACTGTCACCACAACAGCCTGATTAACAGGTGTCATCATTAAAATGATTGTGTATCTGTCCACCTCTTCGCGGTTCAATTCTGCTTTCGTGGTTATCCTCCCTGTAGAAAATTCGATGTTGAACTTACTGCTGGTTTTGTTGTCCACCTCAGGGGGGCCAGGCATCGGAGAGTAGGGGGGGCCATACCTAGTGCCATTGACAGTACCTAGTAAGGTGCCCACTGTCGCATTCTCATAAATAAACATAGTTTGTGCATATTGTATGGCTGTATCTTGCCCCACAGACAGGTGAAGGAGCAGCATAAGGACTCCCAAGATCCACTTGTGCTTCCTGGCAGCACAGCAGGTGTGCGCCCGTGGAACACATAAGGGCCCCATCAAAATCTGGATCATTTTCAGGTGATACCAAAAGACCCTGCCACTTGGTGCAGCAGACCCACCTGAGGAGCCTATCTCTGGGTGTCAGGTGAGAGGAGACTTGATGCCACATATTCCATGTGTAGTTGGTCCAACATGAAGACGGACCGAGATTTCAGCTATTAGGTAGTCAAATATAACCTCTGTGTGAAAATTAATGCATTTTCTGTGAGGAAAAAAGTATACAAGCTTTTTAAAAATATTACTATACAAAATATGTGCAAGAATTTTATTTTTATACAACCGGTATTTATATTTAAAATTATTATTCTCTTTAATCCTTTAAAAAAAGCCAATGGTAAATGAGTTTATATTACCAAAAAAAAAATTCACCATACACAACACTATTTAAAGGTCTTTTTTAAAAAGTAGGCTACACATTTACTTTTCACATTTTCACCTTGTTTCTCTTTTTCATTTGATTTTTTGTTAATTTATCAATAATTTGAAAATTGTCATTTGAGATTTAAATTTTTCTACCTAAGAGTGTTGTTTTTTTTTCTTTAATGATTATAATGCATTGCCCTTCAGTGAAATAATATATAATATAGAGTTTATATTACAGACAAGAAAACAACAAACTTAATATCTAAATGAAAGATATCACTATTACTATTACTATTACCAAAATTAATCTAAAAAATCTCATTACAGATAGGCCTATTCATCATTCAACACAAAATAAAACTGATCAGTTTGTATTTCAATGACTTTAAGTAGTCTGTAGTTGATGAAGACCTATCTATAACTAAGTAGTAAGACTAAGTTATTTATGTCATGTGGATTGGAGTGTAGGTTGCAATTTAATGTGAAAACTAGGTCTTAAAGATTTCAGTTTGCTCTCAGAATTTATACTGCTTCCAGTGCTTTAATAGTATAAGTTAAGTCAGTAAAGACATTGATAGAGTACCAAATACAATTACTGAATTAGTAGTTGTTAGGCCTGTTGACCTTGTAAAAGTAAAAGAGTCCAAGAATAGTAATAAGTACTTTGTAGCCTTGAAAAATTATTTCACTTTACAATACAAAGACAAAGTGGTTATTTAATGTAAGCAGACTGCATATAATAATAATACTAATAGTATAGTGATATCATTATTTGACAGTGACAGTAGTATGAAATTTGAACATTAAAGTTTAATTAAAGGCTTGGGCTTGAAGACTATTTATTCAAATTCAAATAGTAATTATGATATACTTATACATGGACATGGTAGGCTTAAACTTATTAAAATAGCCTTAAATAGCTAATGACCATGACTAGTAATGAAAATGAAATGACTAACTAATATTACAGCTTAGACTGAGTGAAGTTTTTAGTTAGGACTTAAAATTATACGGCAATACAAGGTATAAGTATACTATAAGGCCTCCATTCCTACAATTTAAAAATAATAAAATTAAAATACTTTAGTTAAGATTTGTATATAATTAATAATATTAGTAATAATAATAGTCAATGATTGTTATAATTATAATGATTTAGACTTAATGTTTATTATTATTATTTTATACATTTAAGACTTAAGAATTATAATTTACATATTATCATATTACATATTATTAATATATAATAATATATTGTGTATTATAATTACATTTTGGTGAAAATGTTAATATTAATTTAATTATATTATTAATTGCGAACTATTATTTCTTTCTCCCAAAAAGTGCATTTTAAAATGATAAATCTCGTTTCCATGGTTCGGGGGATCGTCAAAATCTATATTTTATCATATTTCATAATTTATGTCTACTAACTAATAAATTACGAATAATAATACAATCTTGGTCTATAATCTATAACTATCGGTATGTAAAGTATGTTATGTCATGTGTCTACCTACTGTCTTGAGGCTATTCTAGTTCTAGTCTAGTTTGTTAGAAGTTACTTAAGTTAAGAGTACACTAGTCTAAAAGTAAAAGTGCGATAGTCCAGGATAGTATATTAAATTTTTAAAATATATATGCTACTTAAAAATATACTATTACCAAGTCTACAAAACTTCAAAAGCATAGGCGCCAGAGGCCTTCTTTTGCGTGAGAGAAAATAATTAACCGTGCCTAACATAAACTTAACATAGCCGCACACGGAGAGACCCCGAACTGCTCCAACTTTCAAACAAACCCAACAAATTCATGTCAATGAACGAAACCGTAGCTAGCGTTGTGCGAACACCTGTGGTAAACAAATGTGCCGCACCAATCGTCAACAGGCATATCCTAAACAGAAGGTATTTTCCTGATACTGATTTAGAACCAACTAGATTTAATAAAAATCCAAGTAATCCAATGATTAACACATGAGAATAGCACCGACAACACATTATTATTTTTTTACCTTGCGCTATGAGCTACACACGTAAAATATGCACATGGAAACTACAGAGACTCACAAGAGGTGTTCGCCCGTTAGGCCAAGAAAACTGCAGTTTTTCCTCGGTCGGGTTTCTAGTCCACAACTCTCTTGTTCATGGCCTGTGCGGAACCGTAGTCGGCTCACCGCCTCTCCCTCTCTCTCTTCTCGCGGTCAAAGTTTTTCTGAATATTATTAGGTCTCGGTGAAGTTCGTGTTTTGGCTTAAAAATTTAGAGAAGAAGTGAGACAGCCTTTTACCCAATTTTTATAAATTATATTTTGCGGTAAAATAGTTTTGGCTAATGCTAGAAATAGTGATAAGCTTTTAAATATGAACATAATTATGCGTCATGTTAACTTTCAAATGCTGGATACAAGAATGATTTCTATAAAATACCGAATACTTCTCTTTCTCTGATACCATCGCTTCCCCCACTTTCCGAAGGCACTCGACCGGGCATTACCGAATAACTCCACAGGTAAATCACGTGATATTCTCCTCATTCTTTTCTCACCATCACCCTAAGGCAAAAGAGTTGATTTGGCCTAGCGTCTGATCAAATAGATAAAAGAAGATAGATTCCCCCGTTCAGAAACTTGGGCCATTCTCCACAAATTGTGTACCTGAGTCATGATAGGGTTTCTGTTTAGATTTATTTTTGTTCGCTGTGTTGCGAGTTAAGTGCTCATAAACAACGTTGCAACCCAAAAGCCATGACTATGACTACTCTGAGAGACGAGCAGTGACTACGTGCGGGGGTATAAAGTTATCATACAATAAGATTATTTCGCCACAAGATTCAACATGGACTAATATTATGATCGTTTCGTTTTTAAATGATCTTCATAACTTAAATCACCATAAAAATAAATTATAATTTTCTGAACTGCAAATTTGAGCATTAAATCGAGTAATTAGGGGTTTGTTATTTGTTAATACATATAGATATGTGTAAATATATATAATTCATAAAACAACTCTTAAAGTGGGCTACTGGTAAATCTTAATGGTAAATGGGATTCAAATTGTATCATGCAATATGTTATGTATATATGCAGTTTATAGATTTAGATACATTAAAATTTATGTTATTTATTTTCAACACCTAATTTTATATATATTTTTTTTTATTTCACTTTGTTTAAAGACGCCTCACTGAAACCTTAGGGATCATGATACAGCTGTCTCGTTGTTTATGTGATTATGGATCAGCTGGCTCTGTGTTTATGTGATTATGGATCAGCTGGCTCTCTGTTTATGTGATTATGGATCAGCTGGCTCTCTGTTTATGTGATTATGGATCAGCTGGCTCTCTGTTTATGTGATTATGGAACAGCTGTCTCGGTGTTTATGTGATTATGGATCAGCTGGCTCTCTGTTTATGTGATTATGGATCAGCTGGCTCTCTGTTTATGTGATTATGGAACAGCTGGCTCTCTGTTTATGTGATTATGGATCAGCTGGCTCTCTGTTTATGTGATTATGGATCAGCTGGCTCTGTGTTTATGTGCTTTTATTATTTTATTTTTTTTAAATTCACGTTAACATTTTGTACAAACACAATAAAAGTAATTCCATTTGTTTACATTCCAATAATATATAACATATTTTTGACAGAACACTTCAATGTTTCACATTCATTGACAGAACACTTCAATGTTTCACATTCATTGACAGAACACTTCAATGTTTCACATTCATTGACAGAACACTTCAATGTTTCACATTCATTGACAGAACACTTCAATGTTTCACATTCATTGACAGAACACTTCAATGTTTCACATTCATTGACAGAACACTTCAATGTTTCACATTCATTGACAGAACACTTCAATGTTTCACATTCATTGACAGAACACTTCAATGTTTCACATTCATTGACAGAACACTTCAATGTTTCACATTCATTGAAACAATTTAGAGGAGTGCCGATATGTATTGTTTTAACAAATTTTATAAGCAGTTGAGAATTTACAGACACATGGACGTTTGCGAAAAGGACTATAACTCTAGGCATGGAGAGTATACTACACAAATGGATTCACAAATTAAATTTCGCGCGAGGATGCATCTCTTGCCCCGAACTTATTAAAACATTGTGATTTTTTAATTATTATTTTTTTTATGTCTTTTCTGTTCAATTGAGCAGTTAATTCAGGCTCTGAAATGCCAATGTGAGAAACACTGTGTTCACTGCAGTAAAAAGTTTATCAATTTCGTATAACGATCAGCTGCCCCGTCTTCCTCCATCAAATAACCAGAGAATCGGACACTTCTAGAGTCCACCTTGTCTTTCCCCAGACTGTCTCGGTGTATAACGGTCTCCATCATCTCTGTACCCGCCAAGTTGACCTACATGAGCTCACGCCGTGTCAGGACTAATCCTGGCTGTCAAATATGTTTTGATTGAAAGGGTTGGCCACCAGTACGTTTGAAGGTCTACTGAGTGTAACACAAAAATGGTTTATATTGAATTTTATTTGTACAACTTCAGCTTCAATTTCTCTTTCAGGTCAGATATTTTAAAAACACTTTTCGATTGACCTAAAATGTGGCACCTCAATATAAATTGGAAAATGGGACGGGGGGGGGGGCGGCATCCTCCGCCCACCTCTACGCCTCTGACAGATAGCCAACTTCATTTAAGACATAAACTGTAGAAAATGGCATC